CTCTCTCTCTCTCTCTCCCTCTCTTGGTGACACGTTAACAGATTATCTTCTTCTTCGGCAGATGCATCCGGTAGCTTCATCCCCGTTGTAGAGAAAGACCCTCACGTTGATTCCGGATTGATAACCAGCAACGGCTGCGGCTGGTGGTATGAGGCGAGGTGCAACACAGAAGAGAACGTATAGACAAGGACGAGGACGAGGATGAAGGTGGGTCTGCGAGGCGCGAGGGCGGCACGTATGCGAGGGAGAGCGCAGGATGAGTTTGCGATTAAACGCGATTATAATTAAGGATAATGGAGTTTCAGCTCGGGAGTTCCCGTCGACTCGAGTCCCTTCGCAACTGGCACCGTTATATCGAGTTCCCGTCGTCAGTTCCAGCACAGACGACCGTTCTCTTCTCCCTACTCTCTATCTCTCTCTCTCTTCCTCCCTCTCTGTCTGTCTCTCTCTTCCTTTTCGTTACCACGAAATGCTTTTGGTCACCCAGATGAACATCATATATTTACACGCAGCAAACGCTAAATTTTAGGAATGTGTGAGTGTGCATTTGTTCACTACAGTAGGCGGAGGTATATAGTGGCTTATACTCGCTAATGAAGACCACCATCACGGCTCCTTCGTCGAATAAAGCAATGGGAATCGTTCTTCTGGGATAGGTCTCCCCTTTCTAGGCACGTACGAGTGTGTCTGAGACGGTAACGTCTCCCGCGGGACGACGGCCGATGGCCCGACGCGATTTTCAACTTCGACGTCCCCTCATAGGATTTTTATGCGTGATAAGAGTTTGGTGAGTCTTCTCGACGCTTTTATCAAAGAATCATGGGGAGATAAAATCCGAACCATGTATGAAGTCGACGGTATAAGGAGCCTATCAAGCGGAGATCAAAATTTGAGCCTATATAATTAGCTTCGATAAATTTGTTTAGAAATATTTGGCAATTTTTTATATTGCGTAAAATTTTTATGCGTGATAAGAGTTTGGTGAGTCTCCTCGACGCTTTTGTCAAAGAATCATGGGGAGATAAAATCCGAACCATATATGTTAAAGTCGACGGTATAAAGAGCCTATCAAGCGAAGATCAAAACTTAAGCCTATATAATTTTAACTTCGATAAATTCGTTTAGAAATATTTGGCAATTTTTTATATTGCATAAATAAGATATAATGCATAACGTATTTCTATTTTTTATAATACTATCTAAAAATTATTAAATATCTTAAAATTATATTGTTAATTTTACACAAAAATTTTCAAACATTTTACGTATTTTTATAATTTTGTAAGTAATTGGATTTGTTGTTTTAAAGAGATGTTTATTATGTCCGATAATACAATATTTTGTATTCACATTTTATTGCAAAATATCTTAGATAGAATATAACTTTATTACATACTATCTTATTTCATGACTATCATTTAAATATGCAAAAATCTCGAAAATTTCGAGCTGCTGTGGCAGATACTTCTCGTAACAACTGAAGATACGGAAGGTATATTATCAGCATAAGATAGAACAGACTTGGAACAACATCGGCGATCACGAAAATTACGTTATATCATTTATGGATAAGCAATTAATTTCAAATCAAGTTAACATTAACAGATTGACGTGTGAATAAAGCTTTTTATACCGATAGAATCATACAAACTTATTATTTATTACATATTTATTACCTTATTATATGTTCAAACCCAGTGAAACTTAATAAAACAAGAATATCAGTTTTATTCATATAAACATGAAATAACATTATGTCATGACATTTGTTACTGTTTGCTGACTGAATAAATCAGATTGTACGGCATTAAGAAACATGGGGACACTATGCTGTCTTTGCAAGTATTGCTCGATCAAACTTCCCAGATTCGCAGAAAATTCGGTCTCCAACATATCTACACCCTCTTCACCTACGTGGAAAAATAGGAAATCATCTGGTGACTCTGCGTATTGACTCGATAGCTTGTAACAGCCTTCTTTGGTTCGGTCTACTCTCCAACCAAACAGCTGGTAGCACGCCTGGCGGTACTCCTGCGAGGATGCCTTGAAAGCCTCCTTCAAACGCGCTATCTTTATTTCATGCGTTTGCTTCAGCTCCGCGATTTCTATATTAAACGAAAATACGGATATATCGCTTTACATAAAGAGTACAGAAAATAAGAATATATTTTATAAATAAAATAAGAATATATATTTATCCACCTTGCATCTGCAACGATGAAACGGTCGCGCCATAATTTCCCGACGCCACCTTGGCACGAAGCTCCTCCACTTCTCGTAACAGAGCCGCTTGTTTTTCCTCGGCTTGCTTCTCCGCTACCGCTGCGGGATTCATCGTGAAGTGCAAAACTCGGGCGTTGCAGTTGAAGTCGCCCTTCAACGCGCGATGTTCAAGCTCGCCTCTCAATTGCTCAATCTCTGCCCTCAATTTATTGCATTCATTCTTCTGAGTGCCGGTTTCAACCGCTTGAAGATCTGCCTCCAATTTGCTGACTAAGTCCCTAAGAAAATTTTAAATATTTTATTTTTTACGAAATAATTTAATTTACTGAAAATTTGCAATATAATGTATGTTAGTATGTGAGAGTATACCTATATCCGTCTATAACGCGCTCCAAAGCCGGTATTCTTTCAATCATCGCATTGTTGCCGTCCACCGTTATCTCCTTCTCGTATAAATCTAATTGCTGCCTGTAACTATCCCTCTCTCTGGTAACAAGGATCATCTTCTTCTGGAGTCTGTTCACGAGCTTGCTCAGTTTCTCTTTCGACAACGTCACATCAGCAGCCAGCTTCTTTGCATCCTCGTAGCTCTTGGACAGGTTCTGCGATTCTCGCAGAACTGCGTCCAATTTTGATCTGAGCTGGCCCTCCTCCGCTCTTAGGTCCACCTCAGCTTGCTGAAGTCTGTTCAGCTCTCGCTTCATTGCCGCCGGTCCGCCAGTAATGCCAATCATTTCATACTCCTGTAAGCGAAGCGCAAGCTCAGATCGCTTTGCCTCTAACACTGCCACTTGGTACTCGACTTTTTCAGTATGCTCTAGCCTGCAAATACATGAGTTATTAACTAGCCACAACGTTTTAAGTCAAACGCGTCGGAAGTACCTTTTCGTCATGTTGGCCATTTGTTCTTCTAAAAGTAATTTCTCCTTAACCGACTCCTTTAGCACTAAAATTGTCTTTTTCGCCGCATTCAATTCTTTCTCGAGGTCGTTCGCTCTCGCGGCTCTTCCTGCCATTAGCTTACCCTCTTCCCACAGAGCTCTCTCCGACTCGAGCTTTTCTACCTTCATTTTCATATTCTGTAGTTCCACGTTCTGCAATTCATAGTCCTGTTGCACCTTATGATAGTCCTTCACCCTCTCCTCCAGCATTGCTGCTCTAGCTTCTGCAGTTTCCAGTTTCATTTGCAATTCACTTGACTCGTTGATATCCTTAGGAGGAGGTGACTTTTCGTTCACAGAAGCACTTCTTAAATCCTCGGATAATTTTGCATTTTCGTTTAATAACGATGCTATTTTCCTTTCTAAATTGTTTCTTACCTAATTAAATGCAGAGCGCCACAAGATTAACTTTTAATGGAGATACGTCACAGAACGTATGTAATTAATTAGTATAAAAAATAATTACTTGGGACCACTCTTTCTCCACAGTATCATGTGTCTCTTTCACATCCTGGATTGTCCGGCGTGCAACATCAAGTCGGACTTCCAGCTGTTGAATAGTTTGCTTATCCTGCTCCGCCTGAATTTGCAAGAGACCTTTCTCCTTCTCGAAGATTTCTTCCATCTGTCTGCGTATATTGTGTAGCTGTTGCACAGCTGCCTCTTGATGCGTCAGCCTGTTCTTTAATGATATAACCTGCACAAAAATATATCTTTCAAAATCCCTTTTTTTTTCCAGATTTACTTGAATCTCAATATTTATTATATCCTTCTTACCTCTCCTTTCATACGTCGCCATTCCCAAGGACTACCCGGAACAGAGTCGGATTGAGTCTTATTGCTTATAGATGTATCGGATTCATCTATTCTTGGCCGTTTGGGTGAGGTAATACCGTCGTCTGAACTATCATTGAATTTCGATATGTAACCAGTTCCCGAGTAGCGCACTGGTACTCCGGCACTTCTACGGTAAGATTCAGCTCCAGAACGTAAATCTTTTATCATATTAATGATACTCGTTGGATCCTGATCACTCATCTGCACAAAATTACATTGATTTGTTTATACAACATTATTACTTTAATAATTGCAACATTAAATACAGCATATGTAAAAATATAAGTATACAATTTGTTTTTACCTTTCAGTAGTTAGTTTCTAATTATTTTATTCACTCGTCTCTTCGGTTTTCCTTACATTTATCTTCTCCTTTCCTGTTATAATTCTTACAGGAAACGAAATGCAACAACTGGACAACGCCGGGCGGCATTAACAACACTGGACAACATATGATCACATATGATTATCGACGAGACAGAAGCGAAACAAGCAACCCAAACGTTGCTGAATGGGAAACGGCAATGGAGTTGCGACCAATCAACAATCACCGCGGTCACGTGATGCCGCAATCATCAAAAGTCCCTAGTCGTCATTTAGGAATCCCCTAGTGTCAGGAATCCTTAGGAATTCACCCGCGTGATCGCAGCCAAAGTGCACCGTGCACGCCGTCGCGGATTCGGTATGCACGTCTTCCTGCCCTCCTCGTAGGCTAGTTTGAGTCAGCCGAGGAAGCAAGTGGTACGTCGTTGGGTGAAAGCAACTCCGAGGATGTCCAAGAAGCAGGACAAGGTGGACAACGGCATCGTCGCCGTGAAGAGCAAAGTGGGTGTCACACGTCGCGCCGTCGATCGTGGATATAACACGACACGGGGAGCGACCGTTTTTTTCTTCCCTCCCCCCCGCACAGGATTGCGCATTATTTAAATTGTTTTGCAGTTCGACGCCGACATCATCAGATTCTCCATGAATCGTAACGAGCCGATGAGCTATGAGGACTTTGGGAAGCTGTTGGCGCAACGGCACGACTTGGGGGCGGACTTTAGCTTTTCAATCTGGTACACGGATACAGACGGTGATCCACTTCCCATCAATAATGATAACAATCTGGCTAGGGCTCTAGCGAACGCCAAGTGCCTGCTCCGAATTTTCATACACAGGAAGGGTGAGATTCCTCGCGTCGTGTCGTACTCCTGACTCTGTACGGAATATATATTTTGTACATTTTAATTTTATTGTTGTGACGGTAGGCGACGGGGCGTGGGATAATGGATACGGTACTATAAAGCCGAAAAATTTGATATCCAGTATCTTGGGTGGCACACCAGGAAAGCCAAAATCTATAGTTATTTCAAATCCACATGATTTTAGACAGGTAAGTTTGTGCTTCGTTGCTCGTTTTTCATTGCGTGGTCTTTATCGGCCGATTCATCATTTATTTATACTTGCTGTCAGGTATCCGCAATTATTGATGTCGACATACTGCCAGAGACCTGCCGACGTGTGCGGCTATTGAAACACGGGTCCGATAAGCCCTTAGGATTTTATATCAAAGATGGTGAAAGCTTTCGCATACTGCCACCGTCCGCTGGTGGAGGAATCGAGAAAGTTCCAGGTGTGTTTATCAGCAGGTTGGTACCGGGTGGCTTAGCGGAGAGCACGGGACTTCTAGCTGTGAATGATGAGGTCCTGGAAGTGAACGGTATAGAAGTTGCGGGCAAAACGCTTGATCAGGTAAGTGATAGCTTTACAAAAATGATTTATCGAGTCACACTGTAATGTCCAATGTAGATTAACTTTAATCTTGATTGAGATAAACTTACTTTTTATCTTTTTCTAGTTCTAAGAAAAGGATAAAAAGTAAGTGAAACCGTGATTAGAGTTAATCTAAAATAGGAGCAGTGGACATAAATTACCAAATATTGATATGAGAATCACAGTTGTGAAAACAGAATTATAAAATAACATTTATTTACTTGATTCCAGTAATATATATTTTCATTAAATACATATAATGTATTTAATTGTATCAGATTATATTCTTTTAATAGAAGATAACAATTTTAATAATAAGAAATAAATGACTTCCTTTGCAATAACAAAGAATTATTCTGTATAAATTATCCTATATAGAGTATCTGCATGCAGTAAAATACTCACTCTTTTTCTTCTTTCTGTCTTTTTTAATGCTTATTCGTTCACGGGACAGGTGACAGATATGATGATCGCGAATTCCTCCAATCTCATCATAACTGTCAAGCCGGCGAATCAGAGAGCAGCGTTGACAGCACCTCGCCGTGGCTCGTTCTCACGTAACAGCCAGTTGTCATCAGGAAGTCGTCAGTCGACGCAGAGCGCTGGTAGTGACGAAGAAGCGGACGAGATCGTCGATCTTACAGGCATGACGATGCAAGATGACGCCTCGGCGTCGTCTACTCAGCACCACCACTACCACCACCACCATCATCATCACCAAAATTATGATCAGGGTGTACTGCACTTGTAGGGTGCACGTGTCTTATATTTACAAACTTTAGAATAGCAATGGACTTGTAAAGTATCGAGATACAAGCATAGGAAAACGATAAAAATGATTACGAAAGAAGGAAAGACTGCATAGTATTATGAATTGTATGTGACTGATACTCTTTGAGATGATACTTCGCGAATTCCAGGGTTAAGAGAAATACTTGTATCTCGATACTCTGTTGTCCATTGCTCTGGGGCGTCGTGTATTAGACTATAAGTATTATCGCGAAAAAAAATATCGATATATAAATTTTGCTGCCCGACAAATAACGTTCCAAAAGCAAAAAAGTGGCCTTATATGATATATCATTCCAGCTACTTTAGAATGATAGAAAAGAAAAGAAGTGTTCCCTTATAAGCAGTCACACGCCTATTCGTGTATCTACTTCGTCCACTCCACCGCATGTTTAGACTGTTGAAGTTTTCGAATTTTAATTTCATTTTTATCTATGTTATCTGTTATCCAATTGCGGACTAAGGATTGAAGGGTAATACTTTTTTAGAACGGTAAGTATCGATGGAAACGTCGGGAATAACGAATTGTATTTTCACGTGTGTAAAATATTGTTCTTTGCCGTGCCTTCATCGAAGTGGAATTAATATTTGTTTAGGAAACGATATTACATTCCAATTATACTTACATCATTGAAAAGAAGGAAGGAGGAAGGAGCGAGATAACGTTTCTAAGATATCTATACTGCCTTCGTAGTTACACGAGTCCATTTTATATACGCTCAAGCCCACTTTTTCTACTTAATTCGAAAAGACATGTACATATATAAATATATACAAAGATATATATATTTATAATATTCTAGATATTTTTCTATTGAGTGTATTTTTTTCGTAATATCGCAAATCTATCACTTGGACTTCCGCAATAAGCGCGCTGTTTTTTAACGGGCCATATCGTTCCATTGCCAAATTATTAATCGCATTAAATGCGCATCAATTCCGCGATCGCTAAGATGTACACTTTATATATTTCTTTCTAACTCTGATGCTTTCATCTTAGGCCGAATGTCCATGCGTCATAGATCATGTATAATATCTAAAAAGGAATATCTTTTTGAAAAAGATGTTTGTGGTATGCAAATCGAAAAGGATAAGAGAGAGAAAGAGTGTGTGTGTGTGTATGTGTGTGTACTTGAATGAGAGGATGAATTTAAAGGATTAGTATTAATGTAAGATGATCATTGTAAGTTTAATCTGTACGTATTTTATTGCTCGAAGCGAGGAATCACTTTTGTACTTAACCAAATAGAGTACGGACTAGATACGTTTGCAAAAAGTACTTACTCGTCTGTACTGAATGCTTTATCGAGCCGTAGTTGTTACTTGGGGAGATATCAGTGCTAAATTAGCATTCGTGAGACGAAAAATTAGATATATTTTTAACGCGGTACGTCGCATTGTGTACTCCTTAGTACGGATAAGAGATCGTTGATAAATTATAAGGACGAAAATACTTATTATAAACGCTGTAATTCTTTTTAACGGCAGCTTATGAAATAAAGATATTTTATTGTATTTTCTAAGCCACAACATTATTTAGCCATTGAATCCCGCATAAAGCGTCCGTCGGAATTGCGCCCAGTATCGATGTCACCTTCTCTATCGCGGTTACTATGGTGTGTAAATAAAATATGGTAGAGCGCCAAACCACAAAATCTGCAACTTGGCGTGGGACATGGTGTTCGCAAAAATTGGACGCTTTACAGTCGTTTATTAAAGTTGAGGGAACGGCCGGTAAAATTTTGTAAATATTGGATCGTGAGAGTGTTTCTCAAAGCGTCAGGGAGAGATGTCTTACGCCGAGCATGGACCCCGCATTTTTTTGACGGGTAGACCAAGCAGCGGTGTACCTTTGACTTACGGGGATTACATCCTGCCGCAGAAGAGATCGGAGGGTCGCTTGAAGCTGTACAACTCGTGTACAGATATTCGTGCTTGGAGCCCGAATGTCTTGGAGAGCACGCGCTACTTCCGCGAGCTTAACGAGCATGACAGACCCACGGTTCGTTTCCCACGCGAATATATTTTTTCCCTCAAGGGATGTGTGTGCCTTAAGCCTCCGAGTCGCTGCTTATTCCGAAAAAGGATTTATATTTCATTTGTATACGTAGCTGTGTAAACGAATTCAGAAATTTTTCAACGAGCGATTTTGAAATCTGGACCGTTATTGGCGGTGGGAAAATGTCGGTTATCTCGATTCTCTTTGTGTGCAGCCTGGGAAACTGATACCATTCAACGTGATAATGGAAAACATGATAGCACTTACGACTCAGGCTCAGCGTGAGCTTCGCGTCGCGCGGCGAGAACTGCGGGGATACAGATCCTTGAATCTCACCCCGGAGCAACGGGATCACCTGGAGAAAGATTTCGTGAGCTTCCGCGAGCGCATTAAACCGACTTCAGTCGCAATGATAATAGTCTTATCCTCCATTTTGCAGGACAGAGCTACTGGCGGGACCGATAAGGCGGAAGAAATGAGAATTGAATATGTGATGAGACCGCTCGCTCAGGAGGGACTTAGATTATTCAACGCAAACAGGATTGCATCCTCGCGGCATTTGGACGCTTATATGTCGATATACTTTCGTCCTGACAGATTTCGATACGTCGGAGACGGCCGTCCGCTACTAACTAATACGCGCGTCTCGAGACATCATCTGAACACACATCCATTATCGGAAAATAATACTTATCTGGTGTCGCGCGTAACGTCCTGCGATATACTGACCGAGGTGAAAGCCACGCGAGGTAAAAGCTGCAAGATACAAAATTATTCTTTAAGAGCGTATCCGACCAGACAGCCAAGTCTGTCGAAAGCAGATCTTGCGAAGTACAAATTTTGTCAGCAGAAAGACTACAGATTTGATTGAATGCCGACAGAAGTATAGATAACAGAGACTGCTAACATAATTAGATAGCAAATTGTCAGCAGAAATCGAACAGATCCTGCAGTAACTATCCTGCGCGATTTCTGCTGCCAATCTGCTATCTAATTATGTTAACACAGACTCTGCTGGCGGAACATAAGCAGTTGAAATCTGTTATCAATCTGTCGACATACTGATGCTGTCATTTTATTGTACTTACTGAGCGTTTATTTTAAATATTTATCAGAAATCAGAAGGCGCGAGGTCAGTTTTGTTTATCAATAGAATTCTCTTTGAGCAATCTCAAAAGCACGCTGAAACAATCCGTTGCAAGCAGAGCGATAAATTTTGCAGAGCGCAGCGAGCAAGCGAGCGTCTGCATCGAGTATGTTGACGCGTCTTCCCAAGCGGCGCAAGACGTTCGCGAGATCGGTGTGCAAACGGAGGAATGTAAGGACGACGACGCTTACGACAGGCAGTCCAACGTCGATTCGCCCTCCAGTCAGTATTACGAGACTACCGAAAGCGTGTCTACGTCCGAAAGCGAGTTAGGGATAAACTCGGATCCCGAGGTCTGCGAGAGAAGTCACAAGGGAGTGATCATCCAAAAGGATTCGGAAATTATCGTTCTGAAGAACGAGCTTGGTGTACGAAACTGGCCCGATTTGATTGAAACGATCGAGTTTCTATACAACTATGCACGGTGAACTTTATCCACGTTCGCTTTTCAGATGAAAGAAGACGAGCTGGAAGAGCTGCGGGAACTCAACAGGCATTTGAAAACATTGTTAAAAGAGAAGGACGAAGATTCAAACATTCTGAGGCGTAACGTTAATGTAAAAATCGGTACTTAAGTACTCCCGACTGCCTCAATTAAAAATTTGTGTAATTATTTGACTCTCGCGTCCTTAGACCCTGCAAGAAAAGTTGAAAATAGTGAGCGTCAGACGCGACTGCGAGACGGAAGATCTAAGTGCAAAAGTAACAGTATCGAAAGATTTTATACGAATTGCATATCTCTTTCTCAACTGGGGTCTTTATCCGTCCTTATTGTCCCTCCCGTAGGTTTCTTCTTTCGAGTGTTTGGTGAATCAGTTGAAAGCGGAGCTAGCTAGAAAATGTCAAGTTTGTTATTTCCAATCACAGGAAATCCAGAAACTTAGGACGGAAGCTAAAGAGGCAGAATTACTTTCCATGGAAAATGAGTCGCTCACGGTTCGTATGCGCGAGATAAGCAAATGCCGCGCCAAAATGTATATAATCGCTTCGCGAAACTCGCAAAAGCTTGAGTTCGGGTTTAATGAATTAATATGTATAAATATGTGATAAATTAGCGGAAGGTGAGGGAGATGGAGCATTTATCGAGGGAGGCGGAGAGCTGCGGTATCGCTTTGGAGCAGATGAAAAATGTCTGGCGAGAACGTGATACGCTTCAAAAGCAATATCACGAGCAAAGTTGCGCGCTGGCGGACAGGGAAGATGAAATAAAACGACTATTGACGTTGATAAAGCAAATGTCTGTTACGTCTGACACTCGTGAGGTGTGCGTCATTTGGCTACATGCGTCACATCGCAATCCATTAATTTTAACGTCGATTCAATTAATAATAGGAAATAAATTATTCGGGAATGGTCGGTGCGCGACGTTACATTGTTCTAATTTATAATTAAGGGTAGAACGGCGTGAACATAATTAAAGGGATTTTACGCAATTGCAGATTTACCGATTATTGCGAAGATATGCCGTCACAGAGAATTACAGCTTTGAATAATAAGAAAGAAAATTTTAGGGACGTAGAGATAACTTTTTAATCTAATACTTTCTTCATTTCTGTAAAGTAACAGTAAACAAAGAAATTAGATGGTCGTAAAAGTGATTAACGTTAATGAATTCGGTTACCGCCTGCCTACATGTCGTAAACCTAAATCTTAAATTAGCCTTGCAGAAAAATGCATAAGTATAATAGACACATAGTAATAGCAAGCGCGTTTAAACCTTGTATCACTATTATGTATGTCTTTTTTTCCTCGGAAAATCTTTTTTGTTTACATTTTATATCTCTTTCTGTTATTTGCTTATGTAGATTTCTCCCACTAATAATTTTCACGATCAGGTAGAGATGAATGATGTAGTGGCCGACTTGAGAAATGAGATTCAGGCAAAAAACGACAAGATCTCGCAGTGCGAGATGCAGCTAGTTTGCATGGAGCGGGAGGTCGGTAATCTGACTAACATGCTGAAAAGCAGTCTGAATAATTTCGACGAGACTAAGATAGCGTACGAGGGCGTTTGCGATTACACCAAGTGCGAGCACGACACTTGCTTAGACGTGCAGAGCGCGTTGTCCGCTTTAAAAGCGTTTATCGCCGAGTTGGAGGAGTGTAAACTAGAACGGCGTAATCGTCTGCGGGAAATAGATAACTTAAAGGCTTATGTGGCATGTTACAGCCAAGAGACCGTCAGCGAAATTACAAACACAGATTTTGATACCGGACACGGATCGATTCAGCCGGCTGCAGGTATATTTTGAAAACCCGGAAACCTTTTTCGCTGTCTTGCCTCAATTGTTGTTCCAACAATTCGACGTCGTATTCACGTCAAATCAATCCGCGTTATTACAGTTCGGATCAGTGATTCGTAAGAAATGGAGAATTACCTTTTATTTGTTATTTCTTCGTGATGTAGGTTGCTCCGTTGCAATACAACAATGCACGTCCCGAATTGATAAGATATCACGGGGAACTACCTGAAGATTAGCGCTTCAATCTTTTCTATTAAAAGTTTTATTAAAGTTTTATTAAATCTCAGATATTACCGATTTTTTTCAGTGTTTTATACCGCGCATGTTTAAACATTGCCTCATTTATGTATGATTTTTTAGAAAACTTTCTTTTTTAATTTTATATCTCTTTCTGGTTTATATTTATTTATGTAGAATTCTCCCGCTGATAATTTTATATCAAATTTTGTATTCCGCGTTAAATAAGTATAAATGATTTAAATAATGACGCTACAGCGCGCGTGGGAAATAATTTAAATCAATAGATAATCTGATACAGATTTAATTGTGTCAAATTTAATAATATTACAGAAGATGTTTCCACGCACACATCGAGTAACGGCGACTGTCATTCATCTAAAGAATTAGTCAGCGTTCAGATTCAATCAGACGATGTTGACACTACCACAACGTGTTCTGAAGAATCGGAAAAGATAGAATTGAACGAAGTAATCTCGTATAAAGATATCGATCGTGCCCTCGCAACGCACATCAAACGTTCCATTGACAAAATACATGAAATATCCGCGGTGCTTCAAGGTATTACGTCTATCTCAAGTATCCCGTGTAATTCCTTTAAAGCGACCGCGTGACGAGTATTACATAATTATTACATAATGAAAATGCATTAAGGTGCCGGCGATCATCACGTGCAAATTATCAAAGAGTTCACGAGGCAGCAGCAGGAGCTGCAGAAGAAGGACCTCGAGATTACGGAATTGAAGCAAAAAGTGGCGGAGCACATGTTGCGAAGGGGCGAGGGCGACTGCGCGATTCAGGAACAGTTGAGGAAAAAGATGTTGGAGAAGGAGAAGGTGTTGGAAGCTATAATAAGTAAAAGGGACTCGAAAATCAAGAGGCTGCACGAACACCTCGCCGAACTGGAGAGCGATATTTTTTCTTACCGCGCGGAGTGCGACGCGTTGAAAGTCGAGAACGCCGAGCTCATCGATGCGAGGAGCTTACTTTCGAAGGAGAATGACGCGCGAAGTGAAGAACTGAGAACACAGAGGCGGCAGATGCGCGAGTTAACTCAGCAGATAGACGACTTGAAGCGGACCGTCGACGTCTTAAAGGAAGAAGCGAATAATGCCGAGAACATGAAAAAGAAGTTAGTGTAATTTCGTTATTATTTTAATCTCCATTAATATTCAATCCATCATTCTTAAAATTCGACTCGTCGATTCAACAGATTGATCGATCTGCAGATGAAGAACAACGATCTTACGAATAAGCTTATACAGGCAAACGAGACTGTCACCAGGAACGCCGAGATCATAGCCGAGCTGGAATGTAAGGACGAGAAGAACCGGATCGCTCTGACTCACGAAAGTATTAAATACGACACGATGATAACGCAGAAGCACGGCGATGTCGTGAAGCTGCGAGACGAGAATCAATCGCTGCGCGATCAGTTAAGGGAGGCTGAGGTTGAACTCGCTCGCAGTAACGACACGATATTATCATTGAGGAGGGAAAGCGACAGTGCGGCCGCGATAAATGTCCTACGGGCAAGTCTGTCGGACTTGGACGTGGATAAGGAGAGGCTGTTGGCGCAAGTGGACTATCTGAAGAGCGAAATATCGAGTTACCGGAGTTCCACCGCGAGCGTCGAAAGCAGACTGCGAGCGTTGTCGCACGGAAATGAGACATTGGTGGCGGATATAGAGATTGTAAAAAGTACTAACGATCAATTGTTACATCCTTCCGAGGACACGAGGTCGTCTCTGAAGGATGCGCTGTACACGCTTCCCAAAAGAATTTACGAGACAATTCTGCGTCTTCGAACGGAAATTATGGAATATGATAAAGAGACAATGAACACATGTTATCCAAGTAAAGAAGCTCCCGAAGTGGAAGATGAGAGAGAAAAGCGACAGAAAAAATTATATGCTAATAAGGTACACGTAAACGAGCTTATTAAAAACAATATAAGAGGACAGGCCTGAGTATATACGTAGTATAAATTTCAAAAAGCTTATATTAAATTAAGATATATAGTAGAAATTTCAAAAAGCTTATTAAATTTCATTGCTCATTAAATTACAGAGTTTATTAAATTTTTTTCATCAAAATGTTTCGTTAAAATGACTATTAACGTCTCGGTATCAAATACAACTGCACTAATGCTTGCAATTTTCCTTCAGTCTTGTCAGCAAGATGAGGATATATTAGATCCTGCCGCTCAAGAAGTAGATTATAATTTTGAGAACGCCGCGCGCAAGTTAAAATTCCTCGAAGGCCAATATGAAGAAAAACTGCGAGAAATTAAGAACCTGATGGACGACGTAAAACTAAGAGATAGCGAAATAAAGAGCCTTCAGGAATGCATTACCTATTTGTTGCAGGAAAAAGACGATCTGCAAGCTAAAGTTAAAGTACGCACGCAAGTTTTCTTTCTCGTTCACAGCGTCATATTTTAAAAATACTTTTTCTTCCACCTGACAGTGCCAAACGGAGGAGTATCAGAACAAATTGACGTTACTGAAGAAAAAGTACGACAGCAGCTTGAACGCTTTTCGTAAAAGGCATAATGAAAACGTCGAAAGATTGCAAGCGAGATTCGAGGACATTATGAAAATCGAGAAGAGCTCGTTCGACGCGGACAGTTGGCTGCAGGTACGCGAAGGAATCGATTAATAGGTAACTTTTTTTTTGCGTCGGTTCGTTACGCGGTTATTCTTTCTAGTCGCTGAACTTGAAGGAGCTGTCGGAGCTGCATAATCGAATCAATATTTTGAGCTCCCACGCGGCCGAGAATACCGCCGATTCGAATACCGCACATATCGAAACCAGGAAGGATCACTACAGCTGTCGGGATAATACCCAGGAGCATAGGTTTTACAACAAATTCACTTTGCGTAAGCAGTACACGAGGGAGAATAGATTGTCTTTAAGCGGGAAAACGAGTGAAGAGAAGTTTTACTCCAAAATTCTCGATGCTGAAAATAATGAGAAGATGATAACGGAATTATACTCTCGCGATTTAAAGCTTAAACGGGAACACAGGTAATTTGTACTTTACGTACATTTACTAATCGTTAATTTTGAGACGAGCGCTTTGATCATATCTTCTCGCAATAACGACGATCATGCAGTTCCCTCGAGAATGAGAAGGAGCGTTCTGGAAATGCGGGATCGGCTGAATCTAGAACAGACAGAACTGTAAGTACGCAATAATTTAATCACGCTTATGTTGCTATTGCTACGCTAAAATACGTAGACACGCGATAATACGTTGCAGCTTGACTGGCAGAGGGAGAAATTCATCTATCGGTGTAGCATACATCACAAATTGAGCAACGCTCGCTGATATTCGTATTAATATAGCGGTATTTTGTAACGAAGAGATTTTCAGCGCGAAAAAAAGGGAGACGGAAAAGCGGAAGAGGCAAGATATTGTTACCTTTACGTATTGCCGTATTTAACAATCACGCGCGCATTAAGAGATTAACAATATATATTTTATACAAATATTAGAATATTATTTGTTACTAGCTCTATTTTCTTGGTATGCATACAACTTTTTTGACGTTCTTTTCACTTATACGCTGTTATTCTTTGTTTAATCGAAGTTGTACCCGTGTTATTTTATTTGTAAAAAAAAATATGTATTTAAAATGAACTTTGCAATAAATGCACAAATTACGTGAAAAGTGACTTTTCTGCGGAAATTTTTATAAATTGCCAATAACATATGAAGTAGAAACGCTGCTTACAAGAGACGTGTATACTTAAAGAAATCTCTCTGTACCTTATGAAAAGTTACATCCCGGGGGGAACGTAAAGCGAAAGAACTCCGCTACGTGCCTTTAAGCTTCCGTAATGGGAATCTGTGCGTACGACAGCACGTGTATATGTGTAATACGCCACAATATCCTAGTTACCTTCAAACATATACAGAAACTGACAGAAAACTGTTCTTTTGAACCTGAGAGAAACTTGGAGAGTCGAGGAATGAATATCTCTCTATATACGAACGTAATACAACGCGCGCGTGGTGAAACGTATGCGGACGACGGAGTTTCGCAGAAGGGCCAGAGGGCTGTAAATTGCGTCTGTTTCAGCGTGGGGTTTACCGCATCACTCCTGATGCACGAAGCGCGCCCGGTGCACCCTGCGCCGCCAGTTGCGCGTTACGATATTCCGATTGGCGCCCCGACAATAGTAAATCCGATTATAACCAAAGGAACGTATCTATAATTCCATTTCGCGGGGAACAATACGCGACTGAGTTTGCTCATTATTGTCATTGCGCCACTGTGTCCTCGTGCACCCGCGATTATTTCTTTTTCCGCGTAACGCCTACGTTTGGCGCAGCACCGAATTACGTTTGCCGCACGGATTGGCGCCTTTCTCTTATACCCGCGACTATAAGCAAAGATAGATTATGTATGCAGAACGATTTTAATAACTGAACTGGGTTATAACTTCTTTTTTAAATCAAAATAGAACAAAGAACAGAGGAAAATTAATGTTTAAAATCTATTATTTTTTTGTGATTATGTATTTTTAAGTTAAATAATACACCAATACATTTGCAAGATACAATTACACTTTTCTTAAAAATGGAAATACATATATATTTTTTTAGCATAAATCGATTTTTCTCATTATTTTGTATATAAAAATATGTAAGATAATCGCGGAAGGATTTTCTCATGGGGGTTTTAAAGGATAATGTGTATATTCGCAGAAATTTATTTCAGGAAATAACTTGAACGAACGAATTATTCTTTTAACAATTTATATTAAAATAACTAGTGATCAATTTGACAATGTTATGAAAAACATTTAGAAAATGTTTAAAATGTCATAGTACATAATAAAGTAATTTTATGATATAAAATGTATAATAATAACTGGTAAAACATTGACCTTCTGTATTGACCAAATTTACGTTATTTTTTTAATATGACATCAAATTAACATTATTTTGATTTTTCTGTTCTTTTTAAGTATACAGTATAGTTCTCGGAACAAGATTTGCAGCTTTGAAGCTCGATTTCTAAGAACGCGATTTCAAAGTAAATCTTTTTTTAATAGAGTCTAGAGACCGTAACTATTAATTACACGCAATTAAGAATTAAAGCATTCTCAGAAATCCAGGTTGAAAGATGCAAAACTTGCTTCGAGGACAAAATTCTACTTAATATTTAATTTTAAATAATCTTAAAATATTTTTAATTGATACTTCTCTCGGGAGACAGAAAGCTATGCACACTCTACTTTTTAATAGCTTCAGTTAAAATTCTTCTAATAAGAAAACTCCCTTCTTCGAAGAGATACTTTTTTTTCAAAAGAAACATAAATGCTTATTCAGCGACATAAATATATAATACATGCATAAAATATGTAAAGATTACGCCGTGGACTTTGGCGAATTAGTTTGAGTCACTAACGTAACTCTTGTCACTGAGAGACACATTATTAATTTCCAGGAGTGAGGCACGCACCCTCGTAAGTTCCTTTTGTAATATCTTTGCTTGTACACGCGTTCGCAACACCCGCGCTTCATTAATTTCAATACTAAAGTGTCCTCTCGTATTTAGCGGACGAATCGTGAACAAATTGTAAAGACAAAAGTCTTTGTTAATGAAAGCAAGACCGTAATATTTTATTTTACCCAAGAATGTCTCTTTGAAAGCGGGAAAGAGTGTGCATGCATAAATTAAAGGAATTATAGGGCATAACAAAATAGAGCTCTAATGGGTGGTAGAATATATACACGCACGCTAACGTAACATGCATTACATTTTGTAATTACATTTTGCTTACGTGGTGCATTTTTTACACCCTATTTTATTCATTTATGGCACTTCAAGGTGTTTCGACTATGTACTTGTTGCGCTTATCCATCAAGGTTCTTCTTCGGGACTAAAATAAGCACTTTTTGCTGTTAATGCTAATATATAACCCAACTTGGTCCGACCTGAATTGCATAGCTAACGGGGGTGTTTTCGATGTTGGATCCAAGGTGGCCTCTTGGCAAGAGCTAGGCGGCAGGCAGTCAGGCGAGCAGGCATAGATAGTTCCCTCTCTTTCTCTCTTTCTCTCTCTCTCTCTCTCTCTCTCTCTCTCTCTCTCTCTCCCTCCCTCTTTCGCCCCCTTCTATCTCTCTATCTCTCTCTTGCTCGCAAAAGGGCGAGAAGGTGAGGTGCCTACGGGCAAAAGGGTGAGTTTACGAGGCATACGAGCTTGCGCACTGGCGGGCCCATCCGGCGCAGCCTCCGGGATCCTTTCACGGGGCGGTGGACGCGCGCGTGTCCGCGATATATAGGCGGGGGACGGAGCTTGTCGGTCGGTCGGTCGCCCTCGCGCGTCAGGCACGTCGCAACCCCCAACACCGTAGCACGTCGCAGGTCGCCGGGCTTCCCGACCATGAGAAGAGGAGCGTCAGGTGCCGTCGCCGCCGGCCGTCATCACGGGACGTCGTCTCCGCCAGCGTCTATATCGCACGCGTCTACATCGCCGCCTTGGTCGTACCGGAAATAAAAAATCGGCGTCCGGGAACCCCCGTCGTCAACCCGTTGTTGTCAAGGACCGAAGCGAGAAAAACCGGGTGGCTGCACGCACCGACGGATCTCTTCCGGTGTGATCTCGTGGCCGCAAGAAAAACAAAGAAAAAAAGAGAGAAGGGAAGAGAGCGAGGGGGACAGAGGAGCCGTATTTCGGCAATTCTTCAGAGAGACGTACGAAGGAAGGGAGGAAAGGGAACGGGGGTGGTGATTACACGGCATGCGGTCTTGAGAGCACGCACGAACAGGTGGCGAGGCGGGATCCTCTCTCGGTGGAGGACTCGGTGCGGCTGGCGAAAAAGAGGGCGAACCGGGAAGAGTGGCGGTACGGCGCGTGCGACAAAATACGTGCAGGTACTGTGAAAGAGAACACGCACTTTGAAATTTTCTTTTATCTTCTGATCTTTCTTTTCTTCCCTTCCTCATTTCGTGTTCTTCTCCGCCAAGGGGGAGGATTTTGAAAGAACGCTTCCGCATAAGCTCTTCCGCCTTTCAAAAATTCACCTTTCGCAGATTCATCCAAATCTGCCTATTGTGTCAATTTTTTTTTTGTTTTATTTAGTACTTCTAAGTAGTTTTTTCGAGTTTCGTGCGCGTCCTCGGTCTTTTATAGCCTCTCTTGGTAGAAGTGACGATCTTTATTTAGATATCGATGGAAAGAGCTGCTATCACAGCTCATTAACATAAATGCAAACAGTGGGGAAGGGAGGAAAGCGGATTTAAATTATACGGGGATCCGAATTATATCCTTTCTCTCTTCTTTCACTGGCTCCGAGATTAAGGATAACGATTCGAAAAAACGAATGTAAACATATGATAATTTAAAATTTCTATTACGAATATTAGAAATTAATAAATGGAGCAATTGATTATGAGATTGGAAAATGCGCAGGGGTATTTTTAAAATGGGTATATATCTGGCGAGTGTTATAAAAAAAAATGGATCCGTATGGCTGAGTGTATTTATCGGAAAACTCCTAGAGCTACGCGCGGCTTACGAGCTTTAAATAAAAAGCTATCGTATAACTCAGCATATTTTCACTTGTAAACAGACTACATGCGAATCTCCTCCTACTTTCATCATTTTGTCGGCGTAAACGCGGCAGTATTTATAAACCGTAAGATAAACCGTACAATATCGATTAATTTCCATCGATTACGGAGTTGTTGCGCACAAAATTATTATATAGGGATAATACAGTCATTATATACATATATACAGACTATGAAATTAACAGTTACAAGCTATTTCCTTGTGAATTATTAAAGATAGCATAATCAACTTTAATATTTTAAGGTTTGCCGGGGCCATTCATGTATATGGACTACCATTATTAACTTTTTGTTTTTGAAGTACAAATATTATATATATATATATATATATATATATATATATATATCAATTCTTTTTATACAATTCTACAACAAATAATAAAGATTTCTTATATTATATTCTAATATAAAATATAAAATATTGAATAAAAGATTCACTTTGACCTTTGATCGATTTATGATTTTATTCTTTGCACATAAATACAATGCATCCGCAATGTGCAATTGTTTTTTTCCTTCGAATGCCGTTACGTCTGTTTTTGCGTCGATCGATTCTTCTCCTCATTCTACATACAAAGTAAGGTCATTAAAAAATGAATGCTTTTTACGGAATATATCACATTTTATATCAAAATATATCAGAATAAAATGTAAAATATCTCTTACGGAGAGAAAATATGCATTTTTGATGAACCCTAGTTTAATAGTGTTACATAAAAAGCCGAGAGAAGCCAATTTGTGTAAGAAAAGATAATTTTATTTTTAAAAAGACGAAGGATTTGCTTCCTTGCCGTTCTCTGACAGCGGTAGCTCATATATCACATGAAAGACGAATCCAGAAATACTAGAAAAGATTTTGTTGCCATCTTCAGTTTTCCGAGAATACAGTTTGTAATACTCTTACTTTCGTATCCTATATAAAACTTTTCATTAGAACGCATATAACATCTCTTGCCTAAGAATAAAATAATATTTTTCTTCTATTCAATATAACCGGATTGTAGAACATTAACGCGCTTCGGCAGCTCGATATCACGGAAACAGGATCAATACGTGATTCATGTATAAAAAAGCGTCAAAGTTGCACTCGCAATCAGCGGAAATCGGAAGTAATCGTAACGGCTATCATTGGAATCGCATTAACGTTAAAGCTATTAAGTACTCGAGAATATCGATTTTAATCGTAAACAGCAGCAAGATCTTATTTCCTCGGGTCCTTACGTATGCCGTCGTTTCAATTTCCTGCTTGTAGTGGCGGTTCACGCGCGCTCGCTCGTTTTTACGAGGATAAGAATGACGCGGAACAAATGATCCCGACGTACCATATAATAAACGAGTTAAGAGATCGGAAGCGATTTGTAATGTGATATTAGGATTTTTAATTAACGCCACCGCGGCGTGTACGGAAAATTAAGTTTTACTTTATACAGTTCCGATTCAGTCGCCATAAAATTATTGTGCTTCAGCGCATAGTTATATCACGCGGGATGCCAGTGCGCGAGTTAGTTATTCCGATGTTTATTCAGGGATACACGTATAATTTCGGTTATACATCGAATCGGCTTGATAACAATATTTATCCGTTACGAATTAATGATCCATCATCCATCTGATTCATACAAATTAACGTTATCGGCGCGGGCGGGTCCCTGTGATGAAACTCGATAATACTTCGTTACGCGGGGAACACATCAGCGTTAAATTGGACGTCAATATATGTTTCCGTAACGATAAACATATTAATAGATATTAATGGTATCTGTCAACAATATTTACCCTCTGGTGAATCGGACACGGTGGTAACACCGCCGCGCGGATTGTGAACTAACAATTTTATTGATATACGGATCCGCGCTCTCGTGTTGCGCGCGATTTATCGAGCGGATTCTTCTCTCCGCGTTTGTGCAGATGCAGCGGCACGGCTTCTGATGAATCTACGACGTCACCGAAAGCGAGATCGAGATACGTTTCTCGACGCTTTAACATCGAGGCATTATTTTCTTATTTCGAACACAAACAAGGTAATTTGGACAATCAATCACCGCTGTGAAGATTAAATGTGAGGAAACAACCTTCCCTGGTAACGACTTGCAATCATGCTCAGCCCCAAGATGCAAAAAACTGGTGAGTTCATCTCGTTTCTTATCTTTTTATTGTGTCTAAGATTAAAACAATTGTTTAATATAACCGAATGTGAGATTAACAAGGTCGTATGATAAATACAAGCTTATAAGGAAAATTTTATTAAATGCTTCGAATTAAAAATCATTATTGCACTGTTGGAAAATTTTTGTGTAAAATAATTAACATATACATGTGTAGATTTAACATATGCCTGCTATGTTAATTGAACTTTACAAATTTAAAATGTAAAATTATTAAAAAAATTATTAAAATAATTTTAAAAATAAGTTAAAGTAACACAATTTGAACGTATTTATCAAATGTGTTACAGAAAAAGAGTGTTGATTTTACTCTACAAAAATAAGAATAGAAATTTACAGAAAAAGAGTGATTTTATTTTACAATCTTAACTTCAACATAAAAGTTATGTTAATTGTACACATAATTAGCTTCAAATTACGATCAGAATTACATTTTCTTTTTGTTGAAATATTTTAACATATGTATCGGTGTTATCATTTAACACATCCATATTATGTTAAATTAACACAAAAATTTGAGTGGACCGAACGTGTTATTATAAAACAAAATTAAAAGTGTTATTAAAATAAAACATCAGGCAAAGAGACATTAATTATGGATTTATATATTTTCGTAAAACTCTTTGATTTCGTGATCAATATTGCATAACGTTTAATATATTCGAATATGCATTGCTGTTTAATGAAATTGAAATGTGACAAATGAATGCATTTCGTAAATTCGCATTCTAGGAATTTATTTAGCTGTTTCCAGGAGAGATGCGACAGGCATTAATCATCATTTATTTAATTGACAACTGTGAAGTGCATTTAATCACGACGTACTATCTAGTATGTAACCATGTATAAAATTGCTAGCATAGACTTTCCAATGGTACTTTTGTTTTGGCAAACAAATAGTGTATTTTATATTGCTGATTTATATATTAAATATAACAGCGCAAACATCAAAGGTTTTCGTGCTCCCCGTTCTCGGTACTACAATGTTTGCGTTGGAAAGTTTGCCTTCTCTCTCTCTCTCTCTCTCATCTGCGATAGTGCCTGCTTTATAAATCCATTGTTTGCCGGGAAATTTTCCTCGCCATATCGAGATTAAATTTTCCATCTCCGCGCGAGGATATAAATACAAATAATAATGGAACACTGCGAATCTCTCGATTCGCGCTCTCACCTTTCCCCTCCGTTTTTCCACACGGCGCACGTATGTATAGTACAGTACATACATGCGAGCCCGTGCATGCCTGCGTGCACGGGCAGGTACGGATTACGCGAGTTTCCTCGTTCTCGCCGGAGGGTGAAACTTCGGGCTCGATTTCCTCGAACGGAAGAACAAAGTTTCTCAAACGTCGCGTATCTTTGCGCTAAAGTTAAACACACGATCGTGACAGTTACGCGACGAACGATCGCTATACAACCTATATAACTGTCGCGCGCTCGACGATTCGCGTCTCGCGTCACGCTCGCGAAGCTGCAGTTAAATCAAAGTCACATTCACACGCGGAAACTGAACTCTGGAAATCGTGTCGCCGTGTCGGAGATTGAAATCTATTCGGAAGTAGCGCTGGTAAGCACGCGCGACGAACGTGGACGACCCATTCCCGACGACCGTCCAAGTGTCCGATTAAACTCCCCATTCGGTCGCGATCGATCGCAATTTTGTTTTATCCGCGAATTGTTTGCCTTCGCGCGGAATTTCATTAGTTCGTTGCTCAAATGACGCGTTTTTAATCACGGAGACCGACTTTGCAACAAGTATCGCGTCGGGTATTGATTCGTCGTACGAACGGTGAGACTATCGTTGTTTATCATCGCAGCTTGCTCTCGGTAGATTATTAATATTTACGATTGATGCGATGCGGCAAACAAGATTCGCCGGCACTTTGAGCCCCGTATTATTGGAACGGTCGCATGGCGAGATAATTCGATGCGCGATTGTGATGCAGCGCGCATTGTTGTGCCATGCGAAATGTATATATCCGGTATGTGACTTTGCAATTCGGATGTAATTTGGCGTTTGCACACGTCACGCTGATTTACAGGTATACACACAGGTGGAAATCACTCTATTCGCGTTATTATAATTAATTCTCAGAAAAGTCGCGGTGCAGAGCATAAAAACTCATAGATGAGCGAATTCAAAACGCGAACTCATTACAAAGAACGAAATTAATCGAGATAATGTAGACGATTTAATTATGCGCCGCAATATTTTTAATGGAACGCCTGACATTTTCATGAAAATTTGCTGATTGTTTTTTTTTTCTTTTGCGAATGAATTGTTCTCTGTACATCACACAAGTTTTATTTTGCAAATATGTTCGGGGAAAATTCGCGCGATGACATTTCGAGCGGCATTGCGTACTTCACACACGTTAAAATCTGAATAGCTATATACGCACCGCTTTTATCGCTTCATTCACAAAAGCTGCGTGCCTATGATGTGTTACAGTGAGGGTAAACGACTCCCAGCTGGTCATGCTCTCAGAGAAAGCACATTACGATCATTCGCTGGCAGGGTATTTGTACAAGCGGACAGCTGACTCCACCAAGTGGCAACAACGATGGTTCGTTCTCTATCAGGTCAGTGAATTGTTTGATGAACTGTTGACCGTATCGTCGTGTATTAGATCGAGCACATTACCGAGGCGGAGCGATTCAATTTGCGTGATCCAATTTGAGAATCTCACGCTCAAATCAGAATCTGAATTTATAAATAAATTTGCCTGAGGTAATATTTTTCGTAATAAATTTAATAATTAAATTTAATAAAAATGAGATGCTTATACACACAAGTATCAAAGATTATATCAATTTAGAAAAGACCAAAACCTCCATGGTCGAAACGTGACGATTGATCCGATCAAAACCAATGGTCGAATTGTTACGACATTGCCAAATGTTGTTGATTAAAAATAGAGTTTTTTTTGTAATGTCTCCCTTCATTAATCTGAAATACGTAGTTTCTTTTCTTTCATACAGTCTAGAAAATCGAACTTTGCGATTAGCATTATACCTCATGCGACACACCAGTTCGTAACTTTTCGAGATTAATCGGCAAAACTCCCCGCAAGAAGTTTACTCGCGGCGGGAAAGTTATCGCGAAGTTATCATCAAGTCAGCGTAGTCAGCGTTATTTTAAATAAAACGACGTCATACCTTAGAGCGGAATTTTCAACTATTAATAATAATCGTTGAATTAAAATAATGACAATACCTAAGTTTCCGCGGGAACTTGTATACTGCGCACAAAAGCGTCTTCCTCGATTCGCGGAAACTTCATCGCTCGCGGGGATGCCGTCTATACTCGTGGCCTAACAAACTTCGAAAATGAGGCCTCATTAACTGCTACGGCGCGGCGGACGTTTCGGGCCAGCCAACTAACTGATACAATTAAGGAAGGAAACTTTCGATACAGTTCGTGACAGATATCTCACTTATAGGAGCATATCTATGCCAAGAATTCGGTCTTCGCTTCTTTCCCTTCTCTCTCTCCCCGTTCTAATATCGCACGATCCCTTAAGCCCAGCGATAAATCTTCTCGTTATATGCTTTCACGATCATCAAGCCGCTCAATTACGGCACCGACACGAAACTTCTAATTATTCTATTAAGAGCCGTGTTATCGCATCGCAAATGAGTTTCAGCTTTCTTTTTCTTTTTTTTTTCTTTTTCAAAGAAAAGTTTGTCATCGAACCGTTTAACTAATTTTAGTTTTAAAGAAAAACAATCTACGAAGTGCCACGGGATTTGCCACGCGCACTTTTACCTACCCGATCTTGAAACGGCTATGTACCGGGAAGCAATAAATAGGAGCGGATAAATACCGGGAAGTATTGCCCTTTTTCTTTTCGTTTTGATAGGATCAGATAAATACGGGGGAAGCGCAGACCCCGTCGCTTTTCGTTTAAATAAGATCTCGGATAAAGTAATAAATAAAGTGGAATATCGCAATTTCGCGAAAGTTTGTCAAGTAAACGAAGATATCGTCGTGCGGCGGAGTCTTGTTTCACCTGTCGGCGTCGCGAATCGAAACTTTCGCGGCGATAATCAAGTGTATATCGACGAGAGACGTTTCGAGTCACCGGATAATGGAGGTAACTCGAGTTTGCGCTCTTATATAGCTTAATAAACTTATCTTGAATCTATGAAAATCGGTGCCTTATTATTTCACGCGAGAACGCTTACGTAATTTCCGGAGAGTGCGAGTTTGAAGCAATTATATAATAAATAAATAAAAGGAATAAAACTTATTCTTTCTCGTGACGCTCGGCAAATTGCGTACATGCAATTTCCGAGTTGAAGTTAAGTTAATCAAAGATTTGTGCTCCGGGGTATCTCCTTTTCTCCGTTTCTTACTTTGAGAAGTAAGTTCGTTTCATAGAATTTTATTACGAAAACACGAGTGTTGTCGCAAACTGTATTATACCTGTCGGCAAACGCGCAACGTTTCCGTTTTGTAATTCGCAGTTAACAATTTCTGCACAAATTTGCACGGCACGAGTTGACCTGAAATCCGAGCATAGATAGGCGCAATTAGACAAATATTATGGACAATTAAAATTTCGTTTGTTTGTCGAATACTATTTAAACCGTCGATTACAACATTTTCGGATGCTTGTCGATAATGTCACGGCGCGACAAAAGCAAAATCGTTGTGTTCCGAGTGTTCCAGGTTGTATCATGTATCAGCAACGCGAATTTTATCCGGCGGATTATTCGGAACGTAACTGGCTTTTATATGATATGAGTGTGCGTACAATTCCAATATTCATTCCGCAAATCTTGCGCCGCGCAACACACACACACACACACGTGCGCCATGTAATTTAACGTAAAACCAGATGATATTATTTTGTAAGCATTTATTTTCTAATAACGCGCAGCAGGTAAATTTGTGCGATATTTTAGTTTCGCGCAGAACCGAGGGGAACGGTTTTCTGTTTTCCGCCCTTCATAAACGTGTATTACAAGCCATTATTTCGGTAACGAAAGATAAAAACGTATTTGAATTTAACGCTATGCTATTTCACACATATCGCGCCGTAACGTAACTGAAATATGCAAAGGTATATTTTTTACATGTACACAATCCTAAATAAGTTTAAGTTTTATTTACTGCGTTCTCTCTGAATGCCTCGCTGAAATTTGTTTACTCTATGCAAGCATAGAGAACACGGCTCCGTGCTTCGTACCCGCGCACCGAGTAAAGCAGTTCTTCAGTAGAAGCAGTCGGCGTATGGTCAGGCATTCCTGGCGGTGGAAACCTTGTAATGGAAACTTAAGCGACACAATATTGTGGCTTAACTCGACTTGAATTAAATTCCAGACACGCGGGTTGTATTGTTGAAAGGTTTATTTTATTTGCGAAATTAAAAGCGCGCGACACAGCACCGCGTGAAATATCCAGGCGTGAAACATTAAATATCGTGACATATCATTATTTTCCGCGTCCGCGCGTATTATATACAAAAAGTTATACGCAGATGCTTATTTTCTCACGTTTCCTTCCCGTCTCGTGAGAGGAAAGCGAGCTTTACCATACATGGCTATGACGTCTGTTACAGAATCTGCTATTCTATTACGAGAACGAGACTTGCTCACGACCCAGTGGCGTCGTTCTGCTGGAAGGCTGTTATTGCGATCGACTCATCACCGCCAAAGGCAAAGAGCCGGATAAACAGGTACGCAATGTGTGTTGCTTTGGCGAGCGCACGAGCTCTGCAATAGACGCACCCCCGCGCGTGATCAAAGAATTTTAGTCAGTTAAACGGCCGCTCGCGCCTGTTTTACTTCCATTTTCGCTTCGATGTAGCGCACGCTGTTTCTGTCCCACTTTAATATCGTGCATGCGCCAACCGCCAACAGAAATTGCATATATTGCATATGAGCCTGTCGGGTTATCGAAGCTGTCGAAATCTAGATAAAGCGCGCAGCGCTGTCTTTAAACTTTTTCTAGAAACACAAAGTTACATTTTTCACAAAACAGCGAAAGTTGTTCCAACATACAGTTCACGTTTATAAAAAAGAAAATTTACGAATGTCAATTAAGTTTTTCTCTCTTCTTTCTTTCTCCAAGCTAGATTACTGTACAAAAATTGATAGACGGCGACACGCAGAATAATGCAATTCTCCAGCCTCATTTGTTTCCGATCATAATGCATTCAAACGCGTAATGGATAATTCAAAAGTGTTTACTGTATGTTAATGTATTTAATGTCAAAGGCTAATGTGTACGCACGTGCCTTAATTTAAAAACATACCCCGCTTTTAACCCACATTGATGGGGGACCGTGATAATTTCACTTTTCGAAGATATTTAATTCGCGTAGTATTATCGACGTTTCACAAAAAAACCCGTGTAAAAAAAAGCCGTAATTTTCGCGATACGCGCATGCACTTTTTAGCGACATGTAAATTTTCGGGAACAAACTGCAATTTATAAAATAAACCTGTCGAAATACCGTGACACGGGCTGGGATTTTCTCTGTTATAAAAAAAAAACGTCGCAATTAGCGCCAAATATGGTCGTTTGATTTCGAAGTCTTTTTTTTATCAACTACATTGAACTGGTTTAATATTGAGAGATCAAAATCGAACGCATTTAATGCTAAATAGCACGAAATAATTCTCTTTTCAATTTATAAATAACTAAAGCAGGAAAATATTTCTATAGTTTGTTGTTTAAACTTTTGGTATTGCAAGTCCTAAATCATTACGATCCATACCGTTATCTCTCGGGCCTTCATCCGCACGGACTTTACGCAAGACGAGCATTCTCCGTTAAACGGATGAATTCGAAATGCGCCAAGCAATTAAGAGGCTCATCAACATGTGGTCGCGTGAGATGATAGGGATAGAGAGCGTATTGATTTCTGCAAAGGTCACGTGATGCTGGCCATGCTTTCCCGCTTTTTCTAAAGATATATCGGCCGTTCAGTTATTTTCTTTTAGTCTCCTAGACAAGGAGGAAACTGTTTTTTTCCTTATTTCCACTTTCGTTGCGCCCGATAAATCGATCGCACGCGCCTGCTGCGAAAAATAATGCGTAACTCCAACGGCCGCTTTAACAGCCTCGACCTTGTTCAGCGCCGCAATTATCACCGAGCGGAGCTGCAAAGCATATCCAAGGTGATTTGCAGAATTTATACTTGGTTTGGTTTTTTTAGATCAATTTAAATACTCATTTCTAAATTTTTAATAAACAAAAAATTTTTAATAGCACTTTGATTCGAGGATTAAAATAAAAAATAGATTTTTTGAAATAATTATAAATATTTTCCATTTTTTTTTATATTTAGAACGCAACCGAGATTATAAGATCGAATATATGTTAACGTTACTATGTATCTGACTGTAATAAATAAATAACTTATTTTAATATAATATTTAAGAAAATGGTTTTAATATCTGTAGGTCGACCTAGACCGCTTTATCGAAATACCTTCAATTAAATTTTAGCTTTTAGTTGCGTAACTCAATTTTCTTAGTTAACCGAATTAATTAAAGTAGAAATATTGATTTAGTTCTGTGCGCGGTTCGCACAGTCGAAATTGTTTTGTAGCGAGAGAAAGAGCGGCATCGACGACGTGTTCGCATTATGTTGCACCCGTTGCAAGGACAACGGGACGACGTTCCTCTTACGTCTGAATGTGCTCGTCCCGTTTTACGTACCCTATTGTCCGTCAATGGCGCCGTGAGATGCAACGACGCGAGATGCCCGCGGGGTCCAGTTACGCGCCCCCTTTTCCGCGGACATGACACCCTCCTTTTCCTCATCTCTTTTGCAGAGGAAAGACGTGTTTATTACTCGGCAAACGTAAATTAATTAAGGACGTCAAACGCGCGTCGCGGGATGCGACAAGGTGAGATTATCCGATACTTCGATAACGTCGCAGCATTTCTTCCTCGTGATAGTCTCGTGCTCGGCTGAATGCCTGCCGTGTCTTAGGTGACGCGCTTCATTTATCTTTCACAGGGAATGCGCCTATGTACTTCTGAAGGTATAAGCCAGATAAAGCAATGCATTTGTTATACATGAGTACAATTATAACCGGGTACAATTGGATGGCTTTCACGTGGGATGCTCACTTATTGAAGCGTTCGCACGTTATCCACACGAGAGTGTCGGCTGTTCCGCAAGCATCTGCTCTAATTTAGCGTCACTTTACGGTACAGGTAGTTGTCAATTCAACAAGCAATCGCTAACAATTAAAGCCACCGGCTACAATAATACTCCGTTTTTTATTTTCCATACACACGTTATACGTGGAAAAAATTATTTCGATATTATTCATACGAATTTTGCCCCGCGCGAGTAACTTATCTATCGATGCGTAAATATATATATATATATATATATATATATATATATATATATATTCTATATATATATAGTTTTTTGATTCGTGCGGTTTTTACCTATATATATATGTATACTATAGTAAATATTTGTGATGCTACTGTGCAAGCGAAAATGTTTCTTCATAAAATGTTGGATTTGGCGCAATTGCAACAACAGGACTCGGAAAATACATGTGGCGAATAAGAGGACCGTAAAAAATACCGAATTCCAATATCGGGCGCCGTGGCAAATGGGGGAAACCGAGGAAATATATATTGCATTTTCGTTCAAACGGCCTATTAACTACATATTTACCCGGAATTACCAATCGTTCCGCACAGCTGCATAATATTTCCATTGGTCGATCACGGTGACAAATGATTATGCAAACCTCGGAATTAGCATTACAGGATCCGTTTGACGACCGCATACGAATTATCCGGGCGACGCATTCGCGTTGGCGCGAGCTTCTCATTTGCCGACGACTATTCTCGAGGTAAACGTGACTGTTCGTTTCACGAGTTAAGTTGCAGGAAAATTATGAAAATTTAAAGCGCCAGCTAACAAAATGAATAGCCGTCTAAATGTACCGTGATTTTGACGCGTTGCTATATGAATATATTACCGCAGTTTACCGCGTTTTAACTCGCGTAAGTGAAATGTGCTTAAATCCTTTCATTTTATGTTGTAAATTAATGTTATGTTATGAATTATGTTAGAATTAATTTCCTTTCTGCGATCTGAAAGATCGACAACTACTCGCGAAATATGCTAATTACTATGTTAGTTGTGATTTACGAATTATTGAACTATATTTATCTCTGACAATATAATATGAGAAAATGAACTATTAATTTTAATAATAATCGTTACAATCACTAGTTGATTTTCAACAATTTTGTCAAGTGATTATATGTATAATTACTGATAAGACTTGAGAAATGCTGAGCGATATTAGGATAATTCGGCTGTTTAAACATTACGCTGCATCATCACGCAGGGTTCTCTTGCTTTTTTAATTCAGCTATCGCGACCTTAGGACGCGGACAAATGTAGATCTTCCTTTCTAGGAGAGCATTTGCTGGAATATTCTATGTCCCTGCCGCAGGCGGTCGCTTTGGATTCCTTGCATTATCGAACATTGTCATTTGTTGCACGAACGAAACATTTTTCTCTCGTGTAAACCGACCGGGTTGCTCGTCACCGTCACCGCAAGACCACACCTGTCTTGTATTTATCTCCCTTAGTAATGAATTTTCCGATTAACCTCTAATCAGAACAGTCATTGTAATAAGTTTGCGCGACACGACGCGAACAAGGGGAAGTAAATCGTGTCTTGATTAATTAATCAAACGCTCGCATCAAGCGTTTGAATAATCGTACATCGAAATACCGCTTTATTTGCTATCGTTTCGTTCCACAAGCTCCACTTTTTTATTTAATTACAATGGCGGAATAATCAGTTACATTCTGGAAATATAAAGAACAGCCCCGAAGAACGCTTACCTAATAAATTATTTTCCCGCTGCATCGGTGTGTAAGACAGAGCCGAGATACTCTTCACTCGCTCATACTCGCGATCGAGGAGGTCAAGGATGCCGACCCTATATAATGTCGAGTGCGACGGTTAAATCCGACGTTTCTTAATCGAGCATTCTGCACCTTCGAGCTTTTACACGCTCCTCCTCCGTGGAGGCAGAAATATATCCCAGCGGTATCTCTAATTGACGCGCAAATATATGTATAGCGCCAGCCGCTATTTTGTTATTTTCGAGTCACGGTCTCTCTCTCTCTCTCTCTCTCTCTCTCTCTCTCTCTCTCTCTCTGTGTCTTTCACGCGCGCGCGTCGCGTACCTCTCATTAATATTATACGATCCAGAAATATCTCGGCAGTAACTCTCCACTAATAAAAGACAGTATCGTCTGTCTTTTCAGCATCCGACCGTCTTTTGCACAGCTGCGATGTGTAACGAGAGGATGATTAAAAATAGCTTAATGAAAAAGATATTGTTTTTGTAAATAGAAAATTATAGAACAATATAAGTAAAAACATAAATTGCGTTCCTCGAACCGATGCCGCGATGATGTTGGCTTTCATATATGTTAAAAGAGATTTGTCGGTAACGCGCCTCCGCGTCTGACATATCTTTGATAGCTGCAATCTGCTTTCGTAATCGTGTGCAAGCTGCATGATTATTATCAACGATGTATGTTATGACGCTTATCCGCTTATGCGCTCTCGTGGTGTACAGATAATAGATGTCGGAGAATATCACGGTAACTTCCGCCTCCTACATGTGGGATACTGGCTTCTCTAATTGATCGTTTTCGCAATAATAC